GTGAGTTCTAGTCCCGCTTTTAGGCGTGAAAGCCGGTTGGTGATTTTGGACCAATCACAAGGAGATGGGGAATTTTAGACCCGCCTTTGGCGTGAAAGTTGGCCAGGTGACTTTGGGCCAATCACCAGGAGATGGTGAGTTCTAGTCCTGCCTTAGGCAGGAATGCCAGCTGGGTGACTTGGGGCCAGTTACCAGGAGATGGTGAGTTCTAGTCCACCTTAAACATGTGAACTGCCTAGGTGACTTTGGGCCAATCACCAGGAGATGGTGAGTTCTAGTCCTGCCTTAGGCAGGAATGCCAGCTGGGTGACTTGGGGCCAGTTACCAGGAGATGGTGAGTTCTAGTCCACCTTAAACATGTGAACTGCCTAGGTGACTTTGGGCCAATCCCCAGGAGAAAATGAGTTCTAGTCCTGCCTTAGGCAGGAATGCCAGCTGGGTGACTCGGGGCCAGTCACCAGGAGAAAGTGAGTTCTAGTCCCGCCTTAGGCATGCAAGCCAGATGGGTGACTTGAGGCCAGTCACCAGGAGATAGTGAGTTCTAGTCCTGCCTTAGGCATGCAAGCCAGCTGGGTGACTTGGGGCCAGTCACCAGGAGAAAGTGAGTTCTAGTCCTGCCTTAGGCATGCAAGCCAGCTGGGTGACTTGGGGCCAGTCACCAGGAGATGGTGAGTTCTAGTCCACCTTAAACATGTGAACTCCCTAGGTGACTTTGGGCCAATCCCCAGGAGAAAGGGAGTTCTAGTTCTGTTTAGGCACAAAAGCCATTTGGGAGACTTCGGGTCGATCACCAGGAGACGGTGAGTTCTAGTCCTACCTTTGGTGTGAAAGCCAGCTGGTTAACTTTGGGCCAGACCTCCCCCCCCCTCACAGCTCAACCCACCACACGTAATTATTGTCTTAAGGGTGGGGAGGGGAAGAGGAGGAAGAAGGATTAGGTATGTTTGCCGCCTTGAGTTACTTACAAAGTAGTAAAAGCGAGCTTTAAAAAAAAATCTAATGAATAAATAAAATAATAAATTGCACAGAAATGGAAAAAAATCAGAGCTATTTAAAAAAAAAAATAACAACAACCAGGCACAACGTGCATAAATTACCCGGCGAGATTGCAAAGCCCCCTTTGCAAATCCAGTTGCGTTGAAGATCTAAGCAAGCTGCATGAATAAGTCACAAATGTTCCGGGCACCGATTTCTTTGTGGCATCGTTTTGCTCCTCTTGACGTCAGGCTGGGAATAACAGCCGGTTTGTTTACTGCTGGTGGAACAATTTAAGGCACTTGGGGGTTTGGCTTTCTCACTCTCCAATTCTCGCTTGGGGGGGGGGGGACATGGCTGCTTGCTAAATACTTTGCCAATGAAAAGAAAAATAATCGTTTGATCACTTCCCCCCACCCCCCCGGAAGGGATTCCAATTTGTGTTGGGAATGGTGAAGTTTTCCCAATTATTTTTTTCCCCCACTGGTCCCCTTGGTGTTTGTCGAAGTTTAGAAATTTTAAAATAGGGTGCCAAAAGATCGTTGTTTTTCTCTGGCGCGCTTTTGCAATTACATTTGTGATTGCGATTTGGCCTGTCAAGCCCAGGTTTGGCAGATATCTGACTTCAAAAGAATATAGAATAACAGAGTTGGAAGGGGCCTTGGAGGTCTTCTAGTCCAACCCCCTGCTCAGGCAGGAAACCCTACACTGATCTGGCTGGGGGATTTTGGGAGTTGAAGTCCACAGGACTTAAAGTCGCCAAGGTTGAGAAACGCTGTCCTATACCATTTCAGACAAATGACTGTCCAACATCTTCTTAAAAACTTCCAGTGTTGGGGCATTCACAACTTCTGGGGGCAACTTCTGTTCCACTGATTAATTGTTCTCACTGTCAGGAAATTTCCCCTCAGTTCTAAGTTGCTTCTCTCCTTGATTAGTTTCCACCCATTGCTTCTTGGTCCTGCCCTCATGTGCCTTGGAGAATAGCTTGACTCCCTCTTCTCTGTGGCAACCCCTGAGATATTGGAAGACTGCTATCATGTCTACCTTAATCCTTCTTTTCATTAAACTAGACATCCCCAGTTCCTGCAACCATTCTTCATATGTTTTAG